ACGGGCGTGCTGGCTCGGAGCGAGGCCTGGAGCAGCCTGCTAATCCGGGGGCTTGGGCCTGAGCCAAGACGCAGCAGCTCAATCCCCGGCCCATCTGCTCTGGGGGATTAGTTGGCCTCGCTGCTGCTGGGGGGCGGGCGACGCTCCCAGACCTGGCTTCCGGCTCTTCTCCTAGGTATCACCCAGCTCCCCGAAACCCGGCAGCCACCTGATCGTCTCGGAATCGCCTGCCCCTGGCCCAGCCAAGGCCCGGCTGTCCCCCATCAATGAAGGTGAAGGCCTGGGCTGGGCGGGGTTCCCTGGGGCTGGCTGAGCTGTGGGGGCAGGGCTGGCGAGGCCAAGAGGCCTGATGCCCTGCCTGCCACCAGTGCAGGGAGAGCCATGCCCAGAGCTCAGACCCTGCCTCATTTGTTCCCAGAGACCAAGCCCCAGATTCTGGGCCGGTTCCAGGTGACCACGTCCAAGGACCCAGCCAACAGCCAACAGCAGAGCCCGAGCGACAGTGAGCAGAGCAGCCCGGAGCTCTGGGAGGGGGCAGCCGGCGCCTCCTTGCAGCCCTCCACGTCCAGCTCCTCCTCCACGGAGGGCAGCACGAGCCACGACTCGGACTCTGTCCCTGACACCCCGGTGCAGGACCCGGAGGAGCTGCTGGCCGAGGAGGGGACGCCGGTGGCCCTGGCGGAGAGCGACCAGGAGGGGGTGGGGGCGGCCGGGGCTGAGAGCCCGCAGCAGGCAGTGGTGAGCCAGGTGTGGATGAGCTACACCCGCAGCATGTCCTACCTGAGCAGCGACGACACAGAGAGCGAGGACGAGGAGATCTGGGAGGAGCTGCAGAGCCTGCGCCAGAAGTGAGTGGGGGCCTGTGCTGGCCTTTCCAGTGGGGGAGCAAGCAGGGCCCTGGGCAAGCACCCCTGGCTCCAGGGAGCAGGCAGGCTCCTCCCCCTGCCCCATGGCAAGGGGGCTACACGCCAGGGGTGGGGGGCTGCCCCCTCCCCCGTCTTCCCAGGCTCCTCCCTGTGGGCAGCTGGGCTGGAACCCAGCCTGTGCCCTGACAGCCCTTCTGTCCCCAGGCACCTCTCGGAAGTGCAGACGCTGCAGGCTGTGCAGAAGAAGGAGATGGAGGAGCTGTATTGCCGCATGGGGAAGCAGCCGCCCCCCGGCATCGTCTCCCCAGCTCCCATGCTCTCCAGCCGCCAGCGACGCCTCTCCAAGGGGGGCTTCAACCCGTCTCGCCGCAACAGCCTGCAGCGCCTCGAGCTCTCGCAACCCCCAGGTACCGGTGGCTGCCCACTGTCCCCTGTCATCTGCCTCCCACCCCGCTGTCCTCACAGCCCCAGGTGCCTGCTGGGGCGTGCGCACACGGCCCTGTCCTCCCTGCTGCCCTCTCGCAGCCCACAGGTACCAGCAGCTCCCTGCTTCCTCCCCCATCCTCGCTCCTCCTGCCCAGGGCCCCTCCTATCATGTGGCTGTAGTGCCTAGGGCATGTGCTGTGGGGCGCTCTGAGGGCCACACCCTGATTGCACAGAGGGATCCTCAGCTCTCTGCCCTGGAGCAAGTGACATTAACCCGCGTGTTGCATGGCCAAGCCGATGTCCTCCCACCCCAGCGGGGCAGCATGCTGGGCTGTGCAGCGGGCACCTCAGAGGGTGCTTTATGGCACCCAGTGCCCCCTGGCTGCCCACCCCGTCTGGCTCCTCACAGGGATCATGCGCAGGAACTCGCTGAGTGGCAGCAGTACCGGCTCGCAGGAGCAGCGGCCGACCAGAGGGGTGACGTTCGCCGGAGATCTCAGCCGAATGGTGAGGGTGGGGGGTGCTCATGGAAGCTGGGGGACCTCTTAGGCCGTTGAGTCCCACCACAATGAGCAGGCAGCTCCCCAGGGCCATGTTGCCTCTGGCATGGAAGAGTTGGTGCTTGAACATGTACTATAGAGGCCCTGCAGCACCCCAAAGCAGCATGGCCCAGGCTCTCCTCTGTGGGGTCAGGCATGCAGCTTAGTCCCAGAGAACACCTGTAAGTGGGTCGCTCCTGCCCACAGGCGCTTCAGGGTGAGCACCCCTTGCTGGGAGCCAGCACCAGCTCAACCCCCTCTCCTGCTCTCTTTGCAGTAACCGGCCTTCCAGCACCTATTTTCATGGACTACCTCAGCCACACCCCAGCTGCCTGCGGCCCCGGAGGAGTGATGAGAGGCCCGGCTGTGAGCTGACTGGGAAGTGCTCCACCCCATGGGAGCCTCCATGTGTGAAGACAGCACTGGCCCTGTGGGGCAGCGGCTGCTACTTGGGAATACAGACTCCTGCCCTTGTGTGCCCCTCCCCGCCCTGTGGAGCCAGGCACTGGACCGCACGGTGCCTACTATGGATGCCTGCAACGTGGCCAGCAAGGACTCCTGGCTTTGTCTCAGCAACCCCGGGGAAGCTCTACCCTGCCCTGCCTGCACGAGGCCCTTGGTGAAGCCTGTGTTGGTGGCAGCGTGAGGGTCCTGCCAGACTGGCTCACGCTCCCCTGCACAGGCTGCAGCTGGGCAGGTTTGGGGGCTGCAGAAGAGGCTGAGGAGTGGCAGGTGGCACAGAGCCACAGGGAGCCTTGCTTCAGAGCGCCCCCTAGTCCTGTCAGGGAGGAATGTCTCCTGCTGAGCCCCAGCCCTGCCCTGAGCCCCCTCTGCATTCAGCTTCTCACACTTCAGGTGCACTCCTGGAATCCTTCAGCAACAGGGCAAGTGCCACTGGTGTGTGACACCACGGACAGACCAAGGGGCTGATTTTGGCTCTGCCTGGATGGACAGGACTTGGCCTTATTCCCAGGCCCCTTCAGTCATGCTTGAAGCCAGGACCTGGGCTGTAGGAAAGACGGGGTGGACTCTGTTCCTCCCCATTATGGCAACTCACCTCTGTGCTTTATTCTGCGCCTGGAGCTGCCAGCCCCACGGCAGCAAGAGGAACAACCCTGTGATGGGGCTGTGTTCTCAGTGCCTCTTTACCCCAGAACCATAAACCCGTGGCATAGGGCCAAGTGCATTTGCACCCTTGGGCCAAACCTTTCTCCTTGGCCAACAGGTGTCTGGTCTGTCTTTGCTGGGCCTTAGCAGCAGGAAGCCTCAGCGTTTGGCTTCCTCGCTGGCCCTGACAGGCCCTCTGCATGGCTGCAGTGTGAAGTATGGCCTTTGCCCTCAATAGGACACACACTGACCTTGTTGTAAAGGGCGTTGTAGAGACTCTGTACAGCAGTTGTGAATAAAATGGATCAAATGGAGATTGTGACTCCATGGAGTGACTACAGCAGCTGGCACATGGTGTAACCAACTTGATTTTTCCTGTGGGAGGAGGGGGTAGGAGTGGGAAGGTGGCCACTGGGTAATTCACCTGGTGTCTGCTCTGTGGGCTGTCAGGGGCGAGGCTATGCCTGCTGCGAATTCAGAATGCAGTAGTGAGCTGGAAATCTCATCTCCTGCTGTCTTTCCCATAAAAACATGCTTTCAGGCTGAAGTCTCTTAGGTAAATGTGCCCTGTAAGGAATAGACACTGGGCTGGCCACCAGCAGTTACCTTAATAATCAACTTGGAAGCACAGAGGCATGTATTGGAAAGTGACAAAGGTAAAGATAACTGCAGCCACTAGGTCTGCTGCCCTGGGCTCTGCACTGCCCTTTGCAGGGGCAAAGGAAAAACAGTATTTCCCCAGCAGGCTGGGCCAGGAGAGCCACCCCTCTTTTGAGGGTCTTTTCTGGAAGTGGGGTGCATGGTTTGTATCCCCTGAAGGCAGCACATGACCTTTGTATCTAATTCAACAGGGCCTGGAAGGAGCGCACACATCCCCTCCCTTGTTGCCTGTCAGGGTTTTCCCCCTCCCTGGAGGATCTGAGCAGGCACACAAGCCTCATCAGGCAACAGTCACACAGGGCAGCTCTTGCCACAAAATTTTATTCATATCCTCAAAGTTGCATCACTTTTTACAGAATGACTTCCAGGTCTAGCACCCAGACCCCCACAGGGCCAGTAAGGTCAATACCTCAACCACACTGAGCTGTGGAAATGGTTACAGAAGAGGGCACATCCCTTGGGCAACCCAGTGCTTTCCCCCTCCCTCCCCAGGCAGGATCCTGGGTACAGCACTGCAATGCAAATTAGCTCTTTCCGGCTGCAGATTGAACTGTGAAATCACAGCTCAGCCACTGGTTAAGCACAACTCCCTCCAGTGAGCTGCACAGCCACAGTACTACCTCCACAATGCACTCAGAATGGAGTGAGCAAGCAGTCTCTAAAGGACTCAATATCTGTCCCAGAAGCACATGCCCACCCTTGGCTCTACTCTTGACCCACCCATCCTAACCAGGGCATGTTGGGAGGTCATGAATAACTTGGCCAGATTCACTACTGTGCTGCATCCCCCTCTCTTCCTGCAGGTGGTAAACCAGGGCACTCCCACACCAGGCACCTCCTCTTGCTTCCGCCCAGCACCAGGAAGCAAGGGATTCATAACACAGCCCCAAGGCAGCCATATTTGACCCAAGACACACTGACACTTCCTCTGCAGCAAACAAACTGGATCCTAGACCCCCTACTATTACACCATCTTATTTGCTCTTAAAGACAACATTTAAGCTCCCGCTGAGTATTCCACAGACAAGATGATATTACAGGGATATTGCACTCACCCCAACTTATCGATCCCAGCCCCCACCCTCCCAAAGCAGGCCATACTTGGGGCAGCCCAGGGCTGGTATTTCATACACCAACTCTGACGAATCATTCACACAGATTTATTGTAGCCCTAGCCAAGCTGCTGCAGGAGATAAACAGAAGTGGAGCATGTCAGAGAACACACCTGGAGCTATTGCACCATACAGTCAGCAATTGCAGCCTGGTTGCTGATGGGCAGAATGGTAAAGGAATCCGTCCCACTGCAGGGGGTCAGACCATCCTTGGTAATCTCAACACGTCAAAGGCAGATACATCTTGTGCCAGAGGCCCTCAGCAGCCTGACCTCTCCCATGATATTATTTCCAGCTGGGTCCATCTCAAGCAGGGAGCAGGCCCAATCTGCTCAGGGTCTCAGTTCACTGGGGTCTTAGCAGCCTGGGTCCGGGCAGCCTCAACTTCCTGCTCTAGCTCATCGAGGAATCGCTCCTGGGAGATCCTGTAGAAGGTGTAACCATCTGAGGAAGGGGCTGCTCAGGAAGACAGGCTGAGGAATCGGACAGC